TTTCAGAGCAGTCTACATTCCTCGGCTTATGTCTCTGAATTTGAATGACCAAAAATCATGAGAAAATTCTGGACAATAGTAGATTTCAATATCTTTCTCTAAACGAAAGAATCACCTTGATAGCTATTTTGATTATGGAGTTACGAAAATCACAAGGCGATGCATCTGTGCTATTTGGAATCTGGAGTAGTTTCTGTTGTGTACTGTTTTTGACCAAGTTAACTGCAGAATTTGGAAAAGTGTTCTATAAGGAAGTTGTGGAAGGTTTCTTTTCCATACACAAGAGTCTCATTGGGATGTCAGGACATCGTGATACTAGTTAGATCATCTGGAAGAAGGTGCAAGTTACCCTTTTTGTGTCCCCTAGTTTAATTTTCTTAAGGGGGTAGCCAAGATGAAGAATTTGTAAGATGAATCATACGTTCTAGTTTGCACAGCAGAAGCATGGTGGTACCCAAAGAAGTGTTTGCGAGTACCGAAAGAGCAGATTCCTTTAGAAGAACTTGCTGTTAAGGAAGATCTCACACATGAAGAGTATCCGATAAAGATCTTACAGACGGTAGAAAGAGTTACAAGGAGCCGAGTTATAAAGATGTGCAAGGTACAGTGGAATCGGTATACAGAGGATGAGGATACTTAGGAAAGAGAAGAGGATCTGAGAAAATCTTATTCACAACTGTTTGAGTAAGCAATCATCCGAATCTCGAGGACGAGATTCATCTTAAGGTGGGTAGAATTGTAACACCCAAAAATTTCAGTCTTTTGAAATAAGAAAATTCGATTTAATTATGTTATTATGTGAGCATTTAAATATAGGAAAAAATATTTTTTGTGAAAATAAAACCAAATATAAGGTTAGTAACATGTTGATGCATTCATGCTGTTGCACATTGGTTTTTGTAATGATTAGATTTGACCAAGGTTTGAATTGAATTCAAATTCAACTTGAAAATGAAATTGGAAAATGTATTTGGAAAAAAAAGAAAAGGAATTCTTTTCCCTCCCTTCCTCAGTTTCGGCCCGCAGGCCCTTTCTTCCCCGTGGCCCGCTCGCTCTTCCCTCTCTTTCCTTCTTAGGGCGGCCCACCGAGCTGAAATTTGTTTCTCCGCCAGTAGCCCAAAGATCGCCAAAGAATCGCCGCCCATGCCACAGCTCACGCTGCCCCAAGAACGCGGCCGGCCTAGCCACGTAGCAAGCCGCTGTCGCGCGCCCCGTCGCCCCGCTCTCAGCCGCTGATGGCTCGGGCCCACCTATCGGCGCCTTCCCCCTCCTCCCACGTGTCCACGCCCGGTCAGCCGCAACCGCCGCCGCTCCGCGCCCACGTTCCGCGTCGTGGGAGCGTCCTCCTCACGCCTGGCCTCTATAAAATGGCGCCGAGCCCTTCCCCGCTCCCTCTGCTGTCTCCTTTCTCCCTCTCGCATCGCCCGTGCCCGTGGTAACCGCCGCGCAGAAGGTCGCCAGGATCAGCCCACCGCCCTCCGCGCGAACCGCCGTCTCCGAGCCGCCGTCGACCCCGTTTCTCCCCGTTGTGAGCTTCGCCGTTCTCCTCTATCTCCCCCCGTGCAGTTTGTTTCTCAATTCGTGGCCCCGTAGACCCGTTTTTACGTGTGCCCGCGAGCTTCGGCCGCCGGCCAGGGCGACTACCGCGCCAACCGCGTCCACCGGCCCCATTCTCGGCCTGGCCGAGGTCTCCTTCACCCCCTCTATCCCTCGGTGTTCTCGGATGCGAAAACCAAGGCTTCTAGGCCTTGTTTCCCGTGCGCCGACGAGGTCCTTGCCGTCGGCCATGGTAGCGCCGCCATTGGGCCACTATTCCGGCCGGCGTCTCCCTCTCTCTCTCTTCCCTTCTCTAATCCAGGCCGTCCCTTGATTGATCGACGGCCCAGAATGGCCGGTACCCTTTCGCCCTGGCAGTTTTGCTTAAGAGTCCCTCGGTTTCGGATGAATTGAACCCGCTGTCCCTAGCGTAGTTTCCATAGTACGCTTTCTCATTTTGAAGACGTAAAGTATACGGTTTTAGTCCAAAATACGTTTTCACTATTTACAGAAATGCCACTACACCGTTTTGTTCATAAAATCGTCGTTTTAGCTCCGAATCAACCCGTTCAAATTGCGTTAGTTTTGTAATTTCATAATCTACGTGTTAGTACCACTGTTAATCATGTTTGCAACTTTTAAATTTTATGGTTAGATTTAATTAAATAAATTGCTATAGGAAATCCCGTTTAATTCATAACTTTCGCGTTTTAGCTCCATTTTTCGTGAACTTCGCGTTGACGTGATCGTAGCGAGATGTAGAATCTTTCCATAAACATTTTATCTTGTATTCTTTACTATTGGTGTACTGTTCTAACCATAGGATTATTTGCTTTGCATGAATGCCTTTGGAATGTTGTATGTTGCCGTGGTGGTCGCGTTCAGACGGTGAGGAAAACGTTGGAGACCAAGAGTTCTTCGACAACCAGCAGGACCAGCAGGAGTTTGCTAACCAAGGCAAGTATATAATGGGATCTACCTTGATGCCTATTCACCTTTATTAATTACTCATTTGCATGTGTCTAATTTTGATACCCGTAAGGACATCCTAGTGATTGATTATCCTGTTCCTTGTCTCATATGGGTTATATGCATATGGGTAGTTTGCTAGTGCTCAACATAACTATACATGAGCTACATATTGAACAACGATTCTATGGAAAGAAAATGTAAAAGTTGCTTTTAAACAACTGGATTATAGGGCGATGGAGCAAATGACTTTCGATCATGATGCTCTCGGCCCTCCATAAGGATTTATCTGTCGGCAAAAGCTAGGACTGACAGTGCAACCGTGAGGGTCATATGGCTCTGACTTTAGCTCAGTAATAGGATTTTTTCTAGCTTGTTAGAGGTTACCTTTATGGCGCAAAAGGAGCTTGCCACGTTGGGTATAGGACTTCCTCTGTTCCTATGTGTATAGCCGCGATGGATATGTGCCATAGGAAAGGGGGTTCCTACATCCGCCTACCAAGGAAACCTAGCGGCCCTAACTTGTTAGAGAAACCTATGAAATGGCTTCATAGTGTACCCTGCCCGCTCACATTGGCAGTGATATGGGAGTAATTAACCCGGGCATATGGGAATCACGACTCACGGTGAATGTGCACCACCTCTGCAAAGGGTAACAAACTGTTATAACAGCCGTGCTCACGGTCACGAGCGGCCCGAGAAACACAGAATAGATGGCTACTTATAATGTTGTTTATACGAGATGATTATGATGATATTATGATGATGTTACATGACTCAATTGAATCGGATATATGATCATGTGGGTTTAAATGGGAGCTTAAGCATAACTTGATAATAGCTGACGATAAAATCTTGACTTACTAAAAGTGCTAACTGCAGTAAACCAATGTCATCCTTTTTGAGCCTCTTGAACCCCATGTTGCCTTGTTAAGTACGGGAAGTACTTACGCTTGTTTATTTTATATATTTGGATAAAAATTCCGGATGGGTAACAGACAACAACGAATATGAGAAGTTCCCTGAGGACTATTAGGCTTGGGGTCAACCAGTCGACCGTCCCTGTGTTGGAGCTACCACAAAAGAGCTATCTTTTTACTTTCTGCTGTGATGTGTAAGACTATGTGATGCTATTATTCGTTATGTAAGATATACCGTGATGATACTTTTTATAATTTGTCAACTTATGTGTGTGACTGATCCCTGGGCACACATGAGTTTAGTGCATTCAATTTTATCCTTAAAATTAGGTGTGACATTGTGCATATGTAAAACTCGTTTGATGACATCGTGGATGAGCTCCAACATCATTCAATACAATGCCTGCCAATGCTTTAAGAAGAGAAATACTTGCGAAACATATATTGTCTTTACGTAGTATAGCAATTGTTGTAGGCAGCAGCAGCCAACTGTCATGGAAGCTAAAAAAAATCTATATGATAGCCGTTGCAGTGTTTAGAATAGAAGGTATTGCTAGCCACAGTCCATGTCAAAGAGGCTATATATCATAGTAAATTTCAGTCCAGCATATTGCACTAAGCTAGCATGAAGTCCAACATATCAAGCATCAAGCATTAGTAACAAATAAAAAGTCATTTTCTCCTTCCTACATGTAGACCAGGGAGGGAGGGAGGGAGAGAGGGAGGAGAGCAATTCAAAGACTTCGGGCACATATATAGCAGTCCAAGCTAATTTTTTAATCAAAATATCATGTGCTAAGTTCGACAAAAGATGCTGGGATAGCATCAGACAAGAATTCACTCAAACGTACTGTACTTAATAACGCTGGGCCGCAGCCCCCTATGGCCCTCACGTGGCTCCGCCCATGGTCGTACGTACTACTGCCGTGCGCCTCTGCGTGCAATTCTCTGGATCGATCAGTTGCGGACGGAGCCTAAAGTCTCTTATATCCATGTCAAGACCGTCCTTGATCAGTGTGCATGCGTGCACCATGGGTCCAAGGCCCATGGAGCTTGTCTGTTGTCTCGAGCGTCCTCGAGCTTGCACGCATTGTTTACCCGTAGCTCAGGTTGTACTGCCTACAATTAGTCTAGCTAGGGCTCAGGTTGTACTGCCTACAATTAGTAGCCGTAGCCACACAGGAATACGACAGTAGTGTTTACCCGTCACGGCCTGCAGCTACGCAGTGTAGTGTGTAGCTACCTGCAACTGTGTACGCCGCCCCTTGGATTCTCTACGTACACTACACAACCATGCTCGCATACCGTGCTAGTTGATTAACAGCTCAATTAGTGGAGTACGAACACTGTGACTCTGTGAGTCGTCTACGATTATCTTATTAAGAACCTGTAGCGCGAGCATCGATCGCCTCCTATATAAACTATCTCTTCAACTTCTGGTCTCACACTTAGTTTGTTTTTGAGAGTTAGCGTCGTCAGCTACCAGCAGATCTTTTGTAGACAACCAAAGGAACAGAACAGCTAAGCTAAGCTGCAGCTGTCAGCGTCTGCGTCGCCGCCGCCGCCGCCGCCGCGATGATCACCGGGCGGGACATCTACGACGTACTGGCGGCGATCGTGCCGCTGTACGTGGCCATGTTCCTGGCGTACGGGTCGGTGCGGTGGTGGGGCATCTTCACCCCGGACCAGTGCTCGGGCATCAACCGCTTCGTGGCCGTCTTCGCCGTGCCGCTGCTCTCCTTCCACTTCATCTCCAGCTGCGACCCCTACGCGATGCAGTACCGGTTCCTGGCGGCCGACTCGCTCCAGAAGCTCGTCATCCTGGCGGCGCTGGCCGTGTGGCACAACGTGCTCTCCCGCTACCGCCGTGGCGCGGCGGCGGCGTCGCTGGACTGGACCATCACGCTCTTCTCGCTGTCCACGCTGCCCAACACGCTGGTGATGGGAATCCCGCTGCTCCGCGCCATGTACGGCGACTTCTCGGGCAACCTCATGGTGCAGATCGTGGTGCTGCAGAGCGTCATCTGGTACACGCTCATGCTCTTCCTCTTCGAGTACCGCGGCGCCAAGGCGCTCATCTCCGAGCAGTTCCCGCCCGACGTCGGCGCCAGCATCGCCTCCTTCAGGGTCGACTCCGACGTCGTCTCGCTCAACGGCCGCGAGGCGCTGCAGGCGGACGCCGAGGTCGGCAGCGACGGCCGCGTCCACGTCGTCATCCGACGCTCGGCCTCCGCGTCCACCACGGGCGGCGGCGGCGGGGCCGCGCGCTCCGGCGTCGGGTACGGCCGCCCCTACGGCCCGTCCTCGGCCATGACCCCGCGCGCCTCCAACCTCACGGGCGTCGAGATCTACTCGCTGCAGACGTCGCGGGAGCCCACGCCCCGCGGTTCCAGCTTCAACCAGTCCGACTTCTACGCCATGTTCAACGGCAGCAAGATGGCCAGCCCGCTCGCGCAGCCCGGCGCCGCCGCCGGCGCACGTGCGCCGGGGCTCGACGAGCAGGTGGCCAACAAGTTCGCGACTGGGAAGGGCGGCGGTGACGCGATGGCGTACCCCGCGCCCAACCCCGGCATGATGCCACCGCCACGGTACGTCAGTGCACTGTCCCCAAGTTTTTTTGTTCGCTAGTGCTTCCTTGCAATTCGTCTTATGTATGTATGTGATCTGCTAGTGATGGTAAACCTGACATTTTCATTTGGCAACGATGATATTATTAGGAAGAAGGAGCTCGGGGGCTCCAACTCCAACTCCAACAAGGAGCTGCACATGTTCGTGTGGAGCTCCAGCGCGTCGCCCGTGTCGGAGGCCAACCTCCGCAACGCCGTCAACCACGCCGCCTCCACCGACTTCGCTGCCGCGCCACCGCCACCGATGCCGGTCGACGGCGCCACCCCAAAAGGTGACACACCATACCATACCAACATTCCTCTGTCACAAACTCACAACTCACAACAGGCGGTGATGGTGATCGCAGCACACTCTAATTAAGGTCATTAGCATTAGCAAGCACTGATCAAGTGTCATCTACTTAATTCAGGCGTGAGTGGGACTGTGACGCCGGCCAAGAAGCCGGACCCCGCGGCCAACGGCGGCGACCTGGAGATCGAGGACGGCCTCAAGAGCCCCGCGACGGGCCTGGCCGCCAAGTTCCCCGTGTCGGGCTCGCCGTACGTGGCCCCGCGCAAGAAGGGCGCCGACGCGCCGGGGCTGGAGGAGGCCGCGCACCCGATGCCGCCGGCGAGCGTGATGACGCGCCTCATCCTCATCATGGTGTGGCGGAAGCTCATCAGGAACCCCAACACCTACTCCAGCCTCATCGGCCTCGTCTGGTCCCTCGTCTCGTTCAGGTGCGTGCAAACCTTAACACCGCTTGCTAGCTAGCTCCTACATATCCATCCATGGATTCATCATGCATGCATGAGTAGCTCCTACATGAATTCCAAAAGTATAGCAGTTCCATTCCAGCAAGATTTAACGAATCCAAAGGGAGACTTGTCGTGATACGAAATAAATCAAGATTATTGCCATGTCCGTTCCTTGTTACTACTAGGTTGCTTGTTACTCTCTCTAGGATTAGCATTTGCATGTGAGAGCACATGAGAGGTACGTCCGTCTCGGATCTGGCACATGCAGGGAAGATGCACACGCAGATGCAGGTCTTATGTGTGAGGCCTGGAGCTTTGCAGCAGACCAAATCAGCCGCGGCTGCCGTGTTTGTCTCCATCCATCTGGACGGCGCAGACAAGCTCATCCACCATCCATGGACTAAAATGCACGATGCGTCGTGTCCTTGAAAAGGCACAATTATATGCACGCATCGTGAACTATTTTATCCGCACATCTAGAGGGGAGCTGATGAAAACAGCAGGCATTTCTAGGAGAGAGTGGCACATGCTATATATACCAGCATCTGCAATACATTGATTCTGTTATCATGCGAAAATTATACTACTGGTTAACATGGATGGATTAACAAATCTTATTTCTGAAATTTCAGGTTTAACATCCAGATGCCCTCAATTATAAAGGGGTCAATATCTATATTGTCCGATGCAGGGCTAGGCATGGCTATGTTCAGCTTAGGTACACCGTTGGCATTTTGATGCTTGTTCATTAGACTATTAGAGATGTTATTTACTTCAACCGAGAAATTCTGACGGTGCAACATTTGACCTAGGTCTGTTCATGGCTCTGCAACCAAAGATCATCTCTTGTGGTAAGAGGGTGGCGACGTTCGCCATGGCGGTGAGATTTTTGACTGGTCCGGCGGTGATCGCGGCTACCTCCATCGCCATTGGGCTCCGGGGAGTGCTCCTGCACGTTGCCATCGTTCAGGTTGGCCACCAACACCATACATATCGTACTGGTCTAATTTTCAAGCCTTTCTAAGGGCGACAAGTGATTCGTTTCAAAAAAAAGGGGGGGGGGGGGGACAAGTGACAATCATACTGATTACTGTAAAACGTACGTGTGATTGATCAACAGGCTGCACTTCCACAAGGCATCGTTCCCTTTGTGTTTGCCAAGGAATACAACTGCCATCCTCAAATACTTAGCACAGCGTAAGCAATTCTATGCTCAAACTTTGCAGATATACATCTTATGCTTATATTAGCTGTTGGTTTATGTAACTGCAGCAAGTTAACATCTTGCATGCTTGCAATGTGATTTTTTCAGGGTTATATTCGGGATGCTCATCGCGCTTCCAATCACAATACTCTACTATGTTCTTCTTGGAATTTAGATTTCTGGGTAGGCAGAAGTAGGATTCTAGGAATGTAGCAGTGAATGCATGCAAAGTGACAAATTGGATATCTTGAAGACCTGAAGATCATCTGAGCAGAGAAATAGGGGAAGCTAAATAGGACCCTATAGGGAAATGCAGAGGAGGAAAAAAAATCCTTGATTCTATTTTTTATATTTCTTTTGTTACTGTTTTAGATTCAAAGTAAAGGTTAGAGCTTTGAGTACGGAAGATTGAACAGTTAACCAGGCAACTTGGTACTAAAGATTCCTACCAGTTGATTCCTTTGTCCAGAGACACATGATCTGCAAATTTCTGCCTGATCTCATACAAATAGGGATAAAGTAATAGAAGTGGTTCTCAAATTGCATGGCAAGATCGTCAGACCAATCCAGCCTGAAATCTTTTGGGAGAGAGTTCATGCCTGCCTGTAGCTTGCTTCGACTCAGTCTCTGGCTCCCTGCCTGCGTGCAACTTTCCAGATACTAGTAGTAACTCTGGACGCTAAACTCTGAATCTGTATCTGCCATGGATTATGCTTAGCAAGCTAGTAGTACTATCTAGGCCTTATTTAGTTCCTCCCTCTAAAGCTTACTTCCTATCCCATCGAATGTTTGGAGACATGTATGGAGTACTAAATATAGACTAAAAAATAACTAATTGTATAGTTTGCGACTAATTTGTGAGAAGAATCTTTAAGCCTAATTAGTTCATGATTTGACAATGTGGTGCTACATTAACACATGTATTAATGACGGATTAATTAGGCTTAATAAATCCGTCTCGCGGATTACCGACGGATTCTATAATTTGTTTTTTTATTCGTATCCAAACACTCCATGTGACAACCAACGTGACACCCCAAAACTTTGCGGCCTGGATTTAATCAAGGCCTTATTGATGTGTAAAGGCACTATGCAGCTTGCATCGAAGAGTCCAAAGCGATGCAGGCAGGCATGCACGCACTGGCTCCTAGGGATTCAGCGGTGGACCACATGAGGAAGCATCTTCTTGTGATTGTTAATGTTGTTGCCATTTTTCTTTTCCTTGTCTGCCCAACTCAATTAGTGGTGGTTAACTGTGATAGGGTCAAATGTCAGCTAGCAGATGGTCTGCTCAAACGCATGTGAAACCTCTGTTTTGTTTTTTCTGCTGCATGCTAGTGGTCTGTCCTTTGTTGCATGCATGCAGCATGCATCATCATACTACTTGTCTAGATCAACCAAGCTCTGAACTTATTTTAATGAGTGATTACATAATTAGTCTTTAGTCTGGTTATTTTAATCATGATTCTTGATTGCCTCATGAAGGCCGCCTTCAGAGCCCAGACTATAGGTGAGGAAGGGTGTCAAAAGTTGCTACTTAATTTGAATATCTGATATGAAAAGGGAGTGTCATGAATTGCATGAGGTCGATTCAGGGCCTGTTTGGTTTGGAGTGATTAATGTTTAGTCACCACCTTTTAGTCAGTTTTAGTCCCTAAAATACCAAACATGGTGACTAAAGTAGTTTAGACGTTTAGTCCCTTTAGTCCTCAAGGGGTGAGTAAAAGGTGACTAAACTTTAATCCAATGACTAAAGGACCAAATAGGGCCTCAGTACGAGTGGCGAATTGCCAAAAAAATGCGCGGAGTAGACAAGGTAAAACATTGCAAGTTGGGTGCTTCGTTGATTGGAGATTGACTCCAAATGTCAGCAAAAGTAACCGGTGGTAGAGGCCAGCAGTCAACGGATTCTAATCGAAGGAAGCAGTGGCAATAATTAACCACTTAACCAGCTCAGGTTGTCTGGGGATGATAATTGATGTAGTAGTATGCTCTATGCTGTATGCTGCCGCACCGGTTAGTCAAGCACTCCACATCAGTCTTGGAATCTCAAGAAAGATTTGGATATCAGAAATCTTGAGCTCATCGCTTGAACAGCAGGCTTCTCTGTACCGATCTTGTCCACTCCATGCGCAGATATGCTACGAGTACTCTCCTGGTTCCATCAGTTTACCTCGATGACAGTTGACAGATCATATAGCTTGATTAGCTTCGTGATGAGCAACTGTGTAAACATTTGGTTGCCAGAAAGATGAAGGTAAAGTGGTCCAGAAATGGATCGGGCGGGCCGTATCCGCATCCCGTTTCTTGTTTGGGCCGGATGGTTCAGATGACTCGGCCGGTGGGTGGGCTCAGTCCTCGGCAGCGAGAGGAGCCTTGCCTTTGTTGTTAGTGGATCGATGGCACCGCCGTGAGGACAGGTCCATTCCACTACCATCGCACGCACTGGAGGGGACTCAGCACGTATTATAGTGGAGTCCCGCATTCGGGCAGACGCCTGCGCGTCCTCCGATGGCGTGGTACCGCTAGGTTACAGCCGACGCTGCTATGGTAGCTCTTTCTTCTTCGCTAAACAACCCTATATTAAGATCTATTTTTATAACATTCAGATAGAACGATTGCAACATACAATTGAAACAAATAAAACGTTTAGAACATACATTTGCAACATAGTCATTGTAACGTATGCAACATCCAGATAGAACACTTGCAACATACATCTGAAACAGATAAAACATATGGAACATATTGCAACATATGTGTGAAACATATGCAAACAGCCAGATCAAAACGCTTGCAATGTATGTCTAGAACAAATGAAACATTTTGAACAAACACTTGCAACATGCCTCTGAAACACTTGCAACATATGCAATTTCCTCGATATACTTTTGCAAAATCCATAAAAAACAATTGCAACATACCTTTGAAACGACTGAAACACCTGAAACATACATTTGCAACATAGGGGAAGGAAAGCCTAGGCCGGTCGATGCCAGCTGTAGGGGTCGAATCAGCGGCGCACGTGCACCACCAGCACCCAGCACTAGCGGCGCGCGTGAGCACCACCAGCAGCACCGCCCTTGGCTCAGTCTGGCGAGCGGCACGTGCTACGGGAGGGAGCGGGCGGTGCGGCGCATGGCTAAAGCGAGGAGAGGTGCGGGTAGGGGCACAATGGGCGGGGGAGAGGAGCGAGCGACGCAGGTGGGGCGTGCGGCGACGCGGGAGTGAGGAGCGAACGAGCGGCACAAGGTCAAGGCACGGTGGACAGAAGGTCAAGCGGAGTGAGGCAGCGGTGTCCAGATGAGAATAAGAGACGGAGGGAGTCAAAGTTATGGTGCACGTCACGCCATGCGTCCGTCCGCAATGAGTCGCTGGCGTCGGACGTCTGTTTGTAGCATTATCGATTATAGTTTGTTAATTTTTTGAACATACATAGTTTTCTTAATATAAAAATGTATATGTATTAAAAAATAAGCTGACTTATTATTTAACTATAATTTAGAAGAACGGGGGAGTAGATGATAAAATAGAAAATAATATTTTATTACTCTCCTAAAGTACTTGTCGAAGTTTATGTTTGTTCCTCAAAATTCAAAACCATAACTTGTGTCTTTCGACTCTCGAAACCACCTTGCCTTGTTCACAAAAGGTTTGTCAACTGTCGCTGAGTTCACGTTTGATCGAAATTCAGAAAGCAAACAAATTATTTCTTTCGACTCTCAAAATCATTTCAATTACTTCCGTGTACCTTGCCCAGTTACAGTAGCTTGCAATGTGGTTGTATCCTTTTTGCTTTAAAATCAAATCTAGTGAACACCTGATAAGGTTTTTAAACTAAGAAAATATCTTCAAGCTCAGACAAATTGTAAGAAAAATTCTAGAGATAGATTGGCATACTTGAAACCTAAATAAAATATTTAGAGCTCATGAAATATCTCTAAAAGTTTCCAAAAGATAGATTTATCTCTAGAAACATGGAAGAAATATCTAAAAAATTATAGAGATCCTAAAACTTTTTAACCGATGTCTAATTACAGTTCGCAAACTTTTCATAACAAAAACACGATATGCAACCAGCATGAATGTATGTTGCATTCGAGCTAGTTCCATCTCATTTTTTTGTGGGATATTATAAAATGTTCTTAAAACATTATTTAGAATGTTTTAGGCTGGATATTTTTTTAATATTTTCCAGAGCTAAATTCAACTTTTGAAAGCTTACAAAGATAGGGCTCTAAATATTTTGTTTATGATTCTTGTGTCCCAATCTGTCTCTCGGATTCTTTTTTGGAATTCTTAGGAGCTTGAAGTATATTATTTATTATGGTTTACAAATCTTAACTAAAAAGGATGAAATCACCTTAAAACCCAATTCCAACAAGGGTAGGGAAGTAATGTAAATGGTTTGAGAGCTGAGGAAGGCAAGTTATCGAGTCCATAGAGTTAAAAGGGAAAACTAGATTCCATTGATAGTAGAGAGCTAAAATAGACTTTTTGAGAAAAATAACAGCCTACCACTCACACCGTCCATCTTCTTCTACCTACTTCTTGATTGTCGCTTATCTAACTACCTACATCTGATCCAATCCAATCTGACCCCCCCTGGACCGCGTCTTGCCTAGACGCCAACGCTTTCACCGAACCAAAGACTCATGACTAGGTGTCATCACCACTTCTGTCACCTAGGGCTGACAATAATTAACGCTATGTTGCCATTTTATTGGTCGCCCTATGTCACCGCCTCCTCCACTCTGTCGTACCCAAAACGAGACTACATATGTGTCAGTATATGTGTATGTGTACAGAGAGGCTGCCAGGTGAGACCAGGCTATCAGGCAAGCAATAGCAGTGTTAAAAGGGAAACCATCAGCCAGAGAGAAAGGGTATTGAAAGAATTATTCAGAGACTACCGTTCTTCTTCGTGGACGCGTCTGTTCATCTTCTTCTCTCCATCTACCTCAAGCTCCTCCTCTGCTGTACTTCTAGGAACTTCTAGATCCTTCCAGGTGCCCTTCTCTAGATCCTCCTTCCCAATTGCTTGCTGAACTTGAGACCTCGCTATCTCCTGAGGTCCTATGCTCCGATTGTATCTAAATCGAGTGGTCCTGTGAACCAGTTGAGGAGTGTTGCTTACAATCTCCCACCGCCCAAACAATGGTGCCCCGACGCCTC